CAGAGAGTTAAAGGCGCTGGAAGAACGTAACACCTGGAAACTCGTACCTATCGGAGTGGCACGCAACAAAACCGTTCTCATAGGAAAATGGGTCTTTCGCGTGAAGACAAAGCTGACGGAACGATCGATAAGTTTAAGGGGCGCTGGGTCGTACGCGGCTTCGACCAAGAGCATGGACGAGACTTCACCGAAACCTTTGCACTGGTTAGCCGACACACGTCTCTCCGAATTCTTCTCGTGATAGCCGCCATGAAGCGGAAGAAGCTCCGCCAAATCGACGTCGCCAACGCTTTCCTCTACGCTCCCGTCAATGCTGAGATCTTCGTCGAGCGACCGCACGGCTCTAATGCCGACCCCAACCAAGTATGTCAATTGTTGAAGTCCCTATACGGCATCAAGCAAGCTTCGAGACTGTGGCAGCAGTACCTACACGCCCGACTGACTCGCATCGGATTTCGTCAACTGCCGCATGACCAAGGAATGTACCGACTCACGAAAGGTGCCGATTAGATCTTGCTCATCATCGTCTACATAGACGACCTGCTCTACATAGGCTCCACTTACGGCATCACAACCTGGTTTGAAGAGGAGCTGCAGCAGGACCTCACGCTCACCGTCTCGTCTACCATGACACAGTACCTGGGACTCAACATACAAGACAGGGAAAACGCAATCTACCTCCGCCGCAAAATATGCCGACACCATCGCCAAGCACTTCGGACTAACTCCAGCCGCCATCACCACACCATACTGCTACATCGACAGAACTCGCAAGGAAACCTCCACTCTGCTCAAACCCGCCGGCATTTGCAACTACCTACGAAAGCTAGGTTGTCTACTCTTTGCAGCTGTTATCTGCCGATCCGATCTATCATACTCAACAAGCCAACTCGCCACCTACCTCAAGAAACTGAAGCGGATCATATGGCGGAAATCGACCGTGCACTTCACTACCTCGTCAGCACAACGAGAATCGGCCTAACCTACCACAAAACTGGAACTACGACGCCCAAGCTAATTGGCTACGTGGATGCTGACCACGCCGGCAACTCTGACAACAGGCAATCACGCACTGACTCCATCTACCGACCCGAGCCTATCGGCCCCGTCTCATGGTAGTCGAGCAAGGACGAGCTAATTGCTCTCTCCTCAGCTAAAGCAGAATATATCACACTCTGCTCAGCCACCACGGAAAGACTGTACCTCCGTGACCTACTCGAAGAAGCAAATCTGGCTCAGTTACTTGGCTTCTCCCTGTTCTACGACAACCAATCAGCAATTCGCATAGCAAACAAGAGCGGGTTCGCGAATCGAACGAAGCACATCGCCCTGCGATATTTCCTCGTGAAGGACAAGATCCAGAAGACACAGGGAACAGCGCGGGCGGAGAGCTTGTCCGCGGTGGTATCGCGGACAAAGGCACGAGCACCCCAAACCCGGAAATGCGACGCATCGCCAACCTTCCCCGTCCACAGCAGTGTGGGCGAGGTCTCCGGCAAGGAGACACGGGGCCAGAGGTTGAGCTGATGCGCGGCGTAACAGACCGCAAACGGCCACAGAAAATGGAGGGCAGCCGCATGGATCATGGAGGTACAAGCGACCTCCATGACTAAGCCAATGCGGCGCTCAGCAACCCCATTTTGCCGCGGAGAGGCCGGAAGCGTGAATGACTAGGTGATGCCGTGCTCCTCACAGAAGGCTGCCAAGAGGTCGGAGGAAAACTCACCACCTTTGTCAGAGTGCAGACGCAGGACGGGAAACTCCGTCCTGAACCGCTCGCGGAGCTCGAGACGAGAAGCGTGGATCCAAGGGATCAAAACATCAGAGACCTCACCCTTGGTGCGCAAGGGGAAAACCGTGGTGTAACGCATGTAGTCGTCGACGACCAGTAGGAAGTACCGCTCGTGGCCCTGTCCACGGACGCAGGCTGGGCCCCACACATCCAGGTGGAGAGTCTGCAGGGGAGCCTCCGTGGGAGGGAACAAGGAGGATTGAGGAGCGGCGCGCTGCCGCCCCTCGACACAAGGAAGACAGGGAGGAGCAGGAGAGGGTGGCAGGGGAGGGAGAACCGTGGGAAGACCAGAGACAAGGACACGGCGGTGCATGCTGCGAAGGCACTGCACCGAGGGGTGACCAAGGCGGTGGTGCCAAAGGAGGGTCTGGTGCGACAAGGCGCGACACGAGCAGGGGGCCGACAACTGACCTGACGCAGACGCAGACGCAGCTACCTGAGGGGACTTAGTGGTCAGTGTGTACAGGTCCGACCCCGGCTGCCGAATGAAGGTAGCCAGGTGACAACCCATCTAAGCACACGTGCAGTGTGTCACACGCTCGTAGGCAGGGGTGAACTGGTGAACACCCGCGTCCTGGAGCGCAGAAACCGCCACCAAGTTCGTAGAGAACGAGGGGAGGTAAAGACCCGACAGTGTGCCGGACGGGACAGCAGGACAAGGGAGGACAGTGGAGGAGGTTGCACGGACTGGACCCCCAGAGGGGTCTGCCAAGGAGACTGGAACCGGCCGACTGAGCGGCGTGAGGGTGGTGCTGTCGCGAAAGAAGGAGCGAGAAGCACCAGAGTCAAGTGTGAAGGTGTACAAGGCCTCAGCACGCGCAGTACCAGAGAGAGAAGACTCACCAGCACCTGGAGCAGCAGCCTCAACAGTACCTAGAGTAGGAGACACACTAGCCCCTAGAGCAGCAGCCTCACCAGCACCTAGAGCAGCACGCTCTATACCTGGGTCAGGCGGTACGCACAGGTAACAGGCACGGTTAGCACTAGTAGGCAATGCATACATGGAAGTGAGAATAGCAAATATATCTACCCTCTGCCCAAGCAGCTCCACCTAGTCGGGGAGCTTAGCCTAGTCGCCAAACTTGGTACGCCAGGCGTCGCTCAGACGGGTGAAGCAGCGGGACTGTGTGTGACTGAGCGTCCCGCAAGCGTGACCAGTCCGAGCACCAGTGCAAATGACGTACGGGCAGCGAACGGTACTCAAAGACCCTCTACTCTGAGCGTACCACTCACGAAGCTGCTAGGGCATGTGAGACTCGCGCGGACGTCGCTGGAGCTGCATCTGGCCACTGCCAGTAGCAGCAGTAGTAGTAGTAGCAGCAGTAGCAGTAGTAACAACAGTAGCAGCAGTAGCAGTAGTAGCAGCGCGGCCACCCCTACAGCCCCAACTAGTGTACCACTCACCAAGCTGCTGGGGCGTGAGGGACTCACGCGGACGTCGCTAGAGCTGCATCTGGCCACCGCCAGTGGCAGTAGTAGCAGCAGTAGCAGCAGTAGCAGCAGTATTAGCAGTAGCAGCAGTGGCACGGCGGCCACCCCTACAACCCCAACTAGCGTACCACTCACTAAGTTACTGGGGCGTGAGGGACTCACGCGGACGTTGCTGGAGCTGCATCTGGCCACTGTCAGTAGCAGCTCGTGCAGGGCAGGCGCAGTAGGCACGCAGGAGGCAGGCAGGCAGGCAAGCGGCAGCGCACGAACTAGGTAGGTGCTCACCAGTGGTAGGCAGGGCCGGCGCTCAACGGGGCCGCAACAGCGGCCGCAGAGTAGGGCCGCGTCGGCGGTAGGGCAGGTCCGCGACAGTTGCTGCAGGGCGGGGCCGTGACAACTGCAAGGCGGGGCCGCAACTGTGGCAGAAGGCTCCGCGGCAGCTGCTGCAGGGCGGGGCTGCGACCGCGGCAGGAGGCTCCGCGGCAGCTGCTCCAGGGTAGGGCCGCGACCGCGGCAGAAGGCTCCGCGACAGCTGCTGTAGGGCAGGGCCGCAACGGCGGCAGGAGGCTCCGCGGCAGCTGCTGCGGGGCTGGGCCGCGACTGTAGTAGGGCGCTCCGTGGCAGCAGCTGCAGGAGTGACGGTGGCAGTCAAGCAGGGGCAGCGTCCAGGGGCAGCCGCGAGGAACAAGGGCAGCCGCGGCGCGCGAGGCTGTAGCGCGCTGCGTGTGCTGCGGGCGCGGCGCGCGGGGCTGCAGCGCGACGCGCGAGTTGCGGACGCGGCGCGCGGGGCTGCAGTGCGACGCGCGGGCAGCGAACGCGGTGCGCAGGGCTGCAGCGCGACGGGCGGGCAGCGAACGCGACGCGCGGGGCTGCAGCGCGACGCGCGAGCAGCGGGCGCGACGCACAGGGCTGCAGCGCGACGCGCGGACAGCAGACGCGACGCGCGGGGCTGTAGCGCGACGCGCGGGCAGCGGGCGCGTCGCACGGGGCGGCGACCTAGCCTGACGAGCCTGCAGGGGCGGCTCGCTGGCCTGACGGGCCTGCAGGGGCGGCTAGCGGGCCTGACGGGCCTGCAGGGGCGGCTAGCGGGCCTGACGGGCCTGCAGGGGCGGCTAGCAGGCCTGACGGGCCTGCAAGGGCGACGCTCTGGCCTGACGGGCCTGCTCGGTGGCCTGACGGGCCTGCAAGGACGGCTAGCGGGCCTGACGGGCCTGCAGGGGCGGCGCACGGGCCTGACGAGTCTGCAGGGGCAGCGCGCGGGTCTTACGGGCCTGCAGGGTCGGCGCGCTGGCCTAGGGCAGCAGTAGGCAGCGTGAGGGCTGCAGGACGGCGTGCGCAGCGCAGCACGTCACAAGGCAAGGCAGGCAGGCAGGCAGGCGCAGGACAACACGTGGGGTAGCGTGGTAATCGCAACAGTAGGTGGGCCCGAAAAAAAACGGTCCTACGGACCTAGTGCTCTGAAACCATGTCAGAATCTAGTAGCAGGAATGATGCACTGAACAGAGATGTGGGTACATATGCTAACCCTAATTTGGGCTGTACCCGTTATGGGCTACCCCACTACAGCCTACACAGCACAAGAATGATTATAGTTTGACAGCCTGGAGGCATCCCATCCCATGAGGAGAAACGGCTGTAGTATGTGAAGTCAGCGCACTCATGCACACCAATCTTATGGTCACACATAGCACCATCGTATCAGCTCCATTGTTCATTGAACAAATTAGACGAGCCTAGCCGTGAACATCCAAGCTGAGCCCATGACCAGCTTGGGCATTCAGGGCATCCCATCACCTCCTGATGTAACGGCCACGTCAGGCCACGAAGGGAGCATGGGGTTGCACAAAGCTGACAGAGCACCCGGGAAGAAGGGCTCTGCAGCATGGCAGTGTGCGGTTGTAAGGGAGCGTGCATTTGTGGCCCCCTTGCGTTGAAGGGCGCGTTCAGTGCATTGGTGGCGGAAGGAGACAGCAAAGACGGTTGTGCTGGTAGCTGTGGGAGTTCCTGTGGCGGCGGCTGTGAATGCAGCTGTGGCTGGTGTGTGTGCCATCAGCGACAGCATGCGCTGAAGCTCTAAGCACTGACAGGCCTTCCCCTGCGCATGCATGCCCTCCTGGGTGGGAAATTTCTGCTGCGTGTGCCGCTCAGCACCTCCCTCCCCAGCTTCTCCCTGCTCAACCGCCCACTCTGTCACAGTTGTCCCAGCAGCACCAGGGGTGGCAGGTCCCTCGGCCTGATGTCCACTTGCCAAGGGCATGGTGAGGGGCCTCCCACCCAAGAGCACGTGAGCCACAGGCGTGTCGAGAAAGAGAGCCGTGTTGCCCTCGTTGTCAGTGTTGTTTCCGTTGCTGAGCATCTTAATTCATGTGTGTCTCTATTCCCGCTCCCGTGTGCCACATGTACTCCCAGCAAGCACCGGCTTGTGCAGCCCATAGCGGAGCCAGGCAGAGCAGAGAGTGATGAGGGCACTGACCCAGGTAGCGCTGCGAGTGGCTTGTTGGGCAAAGGAGCAGAGAGCAGCATGTTGCACAGAGACAGGGTCTTCCCAGCAGCACGTCATCTGGAAGGGCGCTCTCTGACTCAATGCACAATTTACAAATCACGCATCACCACATAATATATTACAAGTTGGCATCATTTTTCTCCAAATATTTGGGATGAAAGCTGGGCAGCATAGCATTGGCAAACTCCAGTGCAACCTCAGGAGCTTGGCCAGAATGGCCCCTGTGAACCTGGGGCAGTGAATGTGAGGACGACAGCACCTGGGGGAGTATAAACTGTGTTGGATATATCCCATGAGAAAGCATGGCCATGTCTGGGAAGTTGTAGGTCTCATCACACACAGAGTTGACACCAGGCATGTCCATTCTCCAGCCGTCCTCCACCTTCAAATCAGCTGTTTCTCCGAGCCCAAGCAGACTGCTTGCAGAAGGCACATCTGAGTTGAGCCCGGGAGGGAAGGAGCTCTCCCAGGAAGCAGCTTCACCTCCCAGGGCATCACCCACATTAAAACAAGGATCAACCGCTGGCTTCATGAGGCTTGGCGAGGCAATCACATCAGGCTGCGCATGTGGCAGGGCAGGGGGAGGCATGGGAGCCGGCATGTGTGGGGCCCTTGGGTGTGAAAGTGTGTCATGTGAATGCTGAGGGCTGCTATTGGCAAAGCCTGACAGCACAGGCGCTTGGGACAATGGCCGCATCAGTGGCTGTGCCTGTGCCTGTGCCTGTGCTTGTGCCTGTGACTGTGCCTGTGCCTGTGCCTGTGCCTGTGCCTGTGCCTGAGCCTGTGGCAGTGGCAGGTGTGGCAGGGGCTGGTGTGATGACAACGAGGGAACACATGCAAGCTGTACGCAATGCTGGTGACCGCTCAGCTGTTGCTGGTAATGACTGCTTGGGTGCTCCCGACGATCCTTGTGTGAACCAACACCTCCCTCGAGGGTGCCTCGCTGCTCCACCACCCGCTCTGGCAGACCCACCCCACCTTCTGGGGGTGCCAGGCTCCCACCTGCCCGCGGCACGGAGGGGCCAGGCTCAGCGAGGCACAGGTGGGAGACGGGCGCGTCAAGAAAGAGGCTCTCGCTCCTGGCATAGGGCACATTGCTGCCCTGCACTGGGATGTCGTGGTTACTGCTGCCGTGTGCATGCACATCGCTCTTGCTGTCATGCGCGTAGCTGTTGCCGTGCTCCTGGGTGCAGGAGTCGACGGACTGGGCCAGCTGCTGTACAGCAGCACGGGCGTCAGCAGGGGGCGCATCTTCAACGCACGGAGCCACATCCCCACAGCAGGGCTTGGAATCGCCAATGCAGGGCTTGGAATCATCAATGCACGGAGCAGAATAAGGCCCGGCAGCGAGTTGGGAGGGCATTGGAGCTGGCAGCGCTGCGTGTGGCTGGGTGGGCGGAGGAGCAGACAGAGCAGAGCGCTGGATGAAGGCGGGGTCGTCGCTGCTGCACCCCAGCAGCACGTCGTCTGGAAGGGCACTCTCCGACCCAACGCGCGGCCACAACACCCGCTGCACCGCGCCATTCTCCCCTTGCTGCTGGCGACGCTCCTCCAGCAGCAGATGGGCAAACCAGGCTCTCTCCGACCCCACGGCAGGCCACAGAGCTTGCTGCTTCCGGCACCTCTCGCCGCGCAGCTGAAGCAGCTCCCTTAGAGACTGAGGCCGCTGTGCCACATGACGAGGCAGCCCAAGCTCATCCCGGGAGGCATTCGACAGGAGGGGCTGGTTGGCCGTGAGAGAGCTCATCTCCTCCCGTGCTCTCTTCGTGGGCAGGCTGAGCGCTGCTGCTCTGGCGTATGTCGCTGTGTTGGTCGCCACAGAGTCATTTGAGAGAGCGGCGGTATTGGGAACAGGAATGAAATTTGGGAGAGCAGCAACTTTGGGGGGAGAAGTGGCAGCGGAGAAAGGCGACCTGGAGAAGGGAGCATTGGAGGCGGCAGTGGAAGTGAGGACAGCAGTGTGGTGGGTGGTAGGAGGGAACCAGAAAGATGGCAGATGAGGGTCGGTAGAGCTACGGGCATTGGGTGAGAAGAACACGCTCCTGCATTCTTCATACGACAGTCCACCGAAAGAAAGGGCGGGCGATTGAGACTCAGGTGAAACCGCGCCGTCCTGGCGCTGCTGCTGCTGTTGGTTCTCTTGGCAGTGACCGTGGCCGTCCATTGCAAAAGTGCGTCTCAGGTGCTTCCTCAGGAGGTTCTGTTGAAAGCGTTGAACTAACTTCCTGCGACCAAGACACGGACCGAGAGGAGTTCAGAAATGAAATTGCTTGGTAAGTTTGAAACGCTTTAGTGCTGGGGTGCAGAATACTATTGCGGGCAACCTCGAGGTAACGTAGATGGAGTCCTCGGGGTATCCCACCGCGGGGAAACCCTGAGGTAACCTTGCGGTAGGTTTTTGCACCGAACTTTTTTTGGATGTACCTTCGGAGGAAGATGCATCGGTTACAGCACGACTTGTTGTTCCTCTTGAGCTGACCGCTCCTCCCCAGCTCGCCCCACTGCTTCGTGCCGCACTGCAGCGCGTGGCACAGCAGCACCGCGTCCTCCTGCCATTATGATGAGCAAAGTCGCGGAGGCACGCACGGATGGGCGTGAATGTCAGTAACAGAATGTGACTGAGATCGTTTGAGCAGGTTTTTGCGCTTGATGCAAGATCCAGAGGTTCCCACAATGAGACTCCGAGCAAATGCCGTGCAACCAGGACCAGATTGTCAGGTCCGACCTGGATCATTTCAGATGGCCTACCGAGGCTGGACTCTCCGTGACACGAGAGGGTGGGGCGCTTTCAGATGCGTACTATGTGAAGAGTTAGTGAGTTGATTGAGGACTACAGACAGGGGGGAGAGGTGAGGCGAGGTGCTCACCCCGGGGGACCACGGCTTCATGGCGAGCGACGACGATTGCGACGGCGGCGAACTGGTCGCCGTTTCCGGCGACGAATGCGGCATGATGGTGACTCCAGCTACCCAATAACGAGCAGTGCGGCAAGATAATGTCTAAGAGCTCGCGTGGAGCTTGAAATTCGACGATCTTTAGGTTTCCACAATCATCGCAGATTATCGCGCTGACAGAGATGTTACGGTCTTTCGCCGTCTCTTAAATGCGCAAACATGGGGTTGGCGGCCTGTGATGGTTACAGCAGCAGACGAATGGTGTTGGCGGCGATGGGTCTCAGCTGAGGAATACCGCGGTGCTCGTAACCAGCGCAATGCACCCATTTGGGGCAATTCACCGGCCACCTCGCTACGAGCCGTAGCACGAGCAACATGTTGCGAACGAGGAGGAGGACGGGTGGCAAGATGGGGGTGGCAAGCAGGTGTCAAGACCAGCAGAAGCGGGAGGAATGCTGCATGATTGTCTGCCATCATCAGTGCTTCGATGCGAATCATGCCGGCATCCGGCTTCGTGCGAACGAACTCCCGTGGTCCTTGCGAAGCACAGCACGTGACGTCAACCTTCTTCGCCTTGCAGTGTGGGTTTCCGTTCCGTCCCACATTCACACGTCCACACCGAAGGTCCCCTGGCAGATCGCCGGGTCAATCCTCATTTACACAAACCCGATCTCCCAAACCCAAGACGACGGACTAGTAAGTAATGATGAGGGGTGCGGGCTGGGTTCTGCTCCGTCCGTTGCAGAAGTGATAATGAGTATTTGAAATGCTTTAGCTAAGACGGGAGAAGCTCCACTACTGTACTGTACTTGGGTCCAGTGCGTTCGTCCCTCGCGCGTTTTGTGCGGTTACTCATGTTGCGCCACGGTACAAAACGGTGAACATTGAAAACCGCTTTGCACCGTCTGGAATCGTCTTTGAGCCACCGATTAACTGTAAACGAACCCGCTACCCGCCCCAACACAAGATACAGTTCAGTACAACGGGCATTTTCCTCCAAACAGAGACTGTGAACCTGTCACAGACTGCAAGGCAACCACGCCAACCGTTCCCTTAGGAATGAAAACCGTTGATCTTTTCCCCATCGGAGTCCATCGGGGCCCTGGTGGGTTCGAATCCACCAGGTGCCCCTTCTGGTGGGTTTCGAGCCCACCAGGACGCGCGAGCTGGCGGAAGCTGTCTGCCCGGGGCAAAAAAAAACTATTCCCCATCGCGACCGGCATGCCATTCGGGAACCTCAACACTAAAATTTTAGGGTTGATGCTCCCGACCCGAACCGCATGCCTTCCGAGAGGGTTCTAGTTTGTTTCTGCCCTGGGGCAGCTCGCTTCCGCGAGCACGCGGAACCGATCCCGCATTCGCCCGTGTTTTACTGTTTGGGCGCGCATGAACCTTTGAGGAGGATCCATCCGAAACCTGGCCTTGTTGGATTTTGATGAGGTAAGCTTTCCAGTCAGCCAATCATCGGCACTGCTGCCTTGACCTTGAAAGCATATATCATCACGGGCGATTGCGACCACGTGATATGTGCAATTGCTCCCGCAAGGAACGTTGATCAGCCACATCTCTCTGCTCGGCGTGGAAGGTTCGCCAGAGCAACAGTTTCAGTCTTGCAGTACGACCCGTTATGAGTTACTATCCCTGCAACATACCAACGTACATAACGAAACCAACATACCTTCCTGACGAAGGGAGGTACCTCATCGTCTTGAAAGGGAGGTGACTGTAACGCGAGATTTGTAGAGGGGATTTTCAAGATCCGTAACTTGTTCTACAAAGCAAAAAAAAAAAAAAAAAAAAAAAAAAACACAAACTCTTCAGCGAATTGAAGTAAGCTTCTCGCAATTTTTGGTGCAATCTCAGCTCGATTAGCATGATACCCATGTCTTTGGGTAAGTATTTGCTGAGATGGAGCCAGGAGGCATCCCACAAGGAAGAACGCCTGTATGTATGTGTGGAAGTCAAATGGTTCATGTGCACCCGTCTATGGTCAATCAGAACCCCGTCCCCGTCAGTATCAAATCAGCTGTTCCTTGAACATGGCGTGCACATCCAAGATGTGCTTATAACGAACTGTTGCATTCAGAGGAGCGCCACGCCATCACCTCCCAGAGTAACGGCCATGATGGGCCAAGGAGGCAGCAAGGGGTTGGCAGAGAGCTGGTAAAGCACCACCAGTGGAGAAGCGCTGCTGCAGCATGGCCGGGCGTGCCCGTATGGGAGCTTGCATGTGCGCGCCCGTGGGGTTAGTGGGTGTGTGCAGTGCACTGGTGACGACAGAGGCCACTGGATGTTGAGAAAGTACTGCTATCCAGGGCATTTGTGGCTGTGGCAGAGGCACTTGTTGCGGCAGTGGCTGCAGCTGCGGCTGTGGCAGTGGCAGTGGCAGTGGCAGTGGCAGTGGCTGTGACTGTAACTGCAGCTGTGCCTGGTGCGTTGGCAGCGAGAGCATGCATTCAAGCTCTAGACGCTGACAAGCAGTCCGCTGCTCAAGAGCAGCCTCTTGGGTGAGAAAGCACTCCTGCCTGTGCGGGTGACCTTCCTCCCTGGTCCCTCCCTGCTCCACCACCCAGACGATTCAACGGTAACATCTTGCGTACATGCATATCCTTGCACAGTTTCATGCCATCAAACGCGCAAGCAAGCGTCACGATCTGTGTAGTTGGGCGAATGGTCTCAAATCAGTTTCTATGGCTAGCAAAAATGATGTACGACCTGAATGTGAGGAGCAATAGGGTCAAAAATTACATCCGGACGTTTAAAGGGTGACATGTTGCGTGCATGCCTATCCTTGTGTCAGATCCCAACCACTAGACCATTGGGATAAAAGGGCTTGTTTAAGTAGCGGGTCAGTGCGCCCATAACCCCCCAGGCCAACGCGCCTGTAACCCTTCCCCAGGATCAATCGCGGATCACCAATGGACCTCTGACACCCCCCTGCACTGGGATGCCCGAAATGCATATACCGGGATTCGAACCCGAGACCTTCGCTCTGATACCATGTCAGAATCCCAACCACTAGACCATTGGGATAAAAGGGCTTGTTTAAGTAGCGGGTCAGTGCGCCCATAACCCCCCAGGCCAACGCGTCTGTAACCCTTCCCTAGGATCAATCGGGGATCACCAGTGGACCTCTGACACCTTGCACAGTTTCATGCCATCAAACGCGCAAGCAAGCGTCACGATCTGTGTAGTTGGGCGAATGGTCTCAAATCAGTTTCTATGGCTAGGAAAAAGGATGTACTACCTGAATGTGAGAAGCAATAGGGCTAAAAAATACATCCAGATGAAAAAATGGTGACATGTTGCGTATCTGCATATCCTTGCATAGTTTCAAGCCATCAAACGCACAAACAAGCGTCACGTGCTGCGTAGTTGTGCGAATGATCTCAAACCAGTTCATGTGGCTAGAAAATAGGATGTATTACCCGAATGTGGTGAGAAATAGGGCCAAACAAAACATCCAGATGATTAAACGATGACATGCTGCGTATATGCCTATCTGTGCACAGTTTCAGGCCATCAAGCACACAAACAAGCGTCACGTGCGGCGTAGTAGTGCGAATGATCTCAAACCAGGTCCTAAGGCTAGGGAATAGGATGTATTGCCTGAATGTGAGGAGTAATAGGGGCAAAAAATACATCCAGACGATTAAACGGTGACATGTTGCGTACATGCCTATCATTCCACAGTTTCATGCCATGAGACGCACAAACAAGCGTCACGAGCTGTGTAGTTGGGTGAATGATCTCAAATCAGTTCATATGGCTAGGAAAAAGGATGTACTACCTGAATGTGAGGAGAAATAAGGCCAAAAAATACATCGTGACGAATAAATGGTAACATGTCGCGTACTTGCCTATCCTTGCACAGTTTCAAGCCATCAAACGCACAAACAAGCGTCACGAGCAATGTAATTGGGCGAATGATCTCAAAACAGTTCCTATGGCTAGGAAAAAGGATATACGACCTGAATGTGAGGAGCAATAGGGCTAAAAAATACATCCAGGTGATTAAACGGTGACATGTTGCGTACACGCCTAACCTTGCGCAATTGCAAGCCATGAAACGCACAAACAAGCGTCACGAGCTGCGTAGTTGGGCGAACGATCTCAAACCAGTTCCTATGCCCAGGGAATAGGATGTACTATCTAAATGGGAGGAGAAATAGGGCTAAAAAATACATCCAGATGATTAACCGGTGACATGTTGCGTATATGCATATCCTTGTATAGTTTCAAGCCATCAAACACACAAACAAGCGTCACG